AAGTCTGTTAAGTTGATTGATGATTCACTGTTCATCGTTGGAAGATGTTGGAAGTAGTATAAGTAGTAAGTAGTAGTAATAGCAGCAGCAGCAGTAGTAGTTGTAGTAGTCGCCACTGCATCCACTGCCTATTTCTGTCTCCAGGACTCCAGGAATGAATGTTGCCGCAGGGCCGCAGGGCCTGCATTGTTACGCAACCGCAATGTATTTACAGTTGTTGAGTCGAGTCGTTTTGCAATTGGAGCTGTCTGCAATACATACATATCAACTTACCAAAAATGGCTGAAGGCTGACGGCTTCGCATAATGCAAACATGAAGCAATGGCACTGGAAACAGGAAACATCCAAGTGACCAAGTGACCATTGAAACATACATACAACACAATGCAATCCGAATCCTGACTTGGTCTGACTGTTTGACTTGGTTGGTTGACAGACGTCGCCTGTCGTGGTACCTCACTTTCTCTGTCGGCAACTCCAGCCCCGAAGATAGCCTGAGAGTCAGTCAGACAGTCTATATTGTCATGGTCATGAACTCATGAACAAATACATACACCACCACCACCACGCGCACGATTCTCGACTCGACTCATTCATTCAGCCACACTGCCACACAGCCACACAGCATAATTATGTTTGACTCTTGACTCTTGACTGACCATTCGCCATTCACCCCAACAACTAACAACTATTATTATTGAATGAGGTAAAATATAGTGGCTGCAGTTATTCAGTTACTAGCGTTACTTGACTTGATCAGCTAAAAGAGCCTCCTACAGCCTACAGTCTACAGACTACAGTCAACTTCCAGGGCTCTGGCGTGTGCTGCCTTTGGGGCCTCCTCCAAACGCACGTCGTCAGAGTGGTCACGGTGGTCACGTCGTCCCATCATCACCAGTCAAAGGTCAAGGTCAAGTGAAGTGAAGGTCTAGTCAAAAGAGTCGCTCAACTACCTTTGAAGCCCACCGCTCAATCCAACTGTTTACTGCTACTGCTTATATTTGTGCACTGTTTACTCTTGGACTCGTGGACTCCTGTCAGCCTGTCAGCAGCATTGGATGCGGCGTTGTACCGGAACAAAACCGGCATACGGCCGCTGTGGCACCTGTGGGTGGCAGCGGTGGAAACAATCGTAGCGGCGCGGCAGTGGCCACTGGTTCTAGTCTCTAGTCACTGGTCACTTAGTCTTAACTCTTGACTCTTGATTTGGCCTTCGCCACGTTTGCCTGCCCATTTGTCTGCCTCCAATCTGGCACGGTGCCCGGCTGCCCGGCTCCTTGGATTGACTAGGCAGCCTAGGCAGTGCAAGCTATTGACCGTTGACTCGTTGACCTATCCAATCCTATCCGCCGCAATCAGGCAATCAGCACATCCATTATATATAATAATATATTATCAAACTACTAAAACTAGTCACTATCACTGACTATCACTATCACTAGCTACTAGCTACTGACGCTGTTTGGTGGAATGCAGTTGAATCTTGGGTCGCGGCATTGGTTGCTCCTGGTTGCTGTGTTTGGTTTGGTAGCTGATGGGCTGATGGCAAGTGGAAATACGGGAACAATGAACAAGTTGACTAGCAGTCTGGCAGTCAGTCAGTTTACAAGTTGAGATGGAGTCCATGGAGTCCATGGGGTCCATATTTGTCTACGAGGGTTGCGAGGGGTCTAATGAATCTAATGAACTCATGAACGATGTGAATAGATACTGGTTAGGTCTGAATAGGTGGTCGTTGGTCTTTTGTTTATTGTTGTTCGTGCATGTTCAGTCTGATACAAAGATCGAATCTCGAAACAGATTGAATTGGAATTGGTGATAATGATGACAGGATGGCTTGCTCCCAGACAGTGCCCACAGTGGCCCACAGGCCCACGTCCCACAGTCCACAGTCTCCTGCCACCTGCTCATCTCAGAACAACAAAGGTCCCGCGGTCCCGCTCCTGACGTTGCAGAGCCACGAACAAGTTAAGGGATGTGGGCATGCTAGATTTCACCTGGACTGAGCTGAATGGTTTTGCAACACACATTGATCACATCGATGCAACTAAACAACTAAACAACGGTTCAAGGAACCCACCCTTTGTATGCTAGACTCTAGACTCAAGTCTCAAGCTCATTGAATGGGATATGATGCTGGATATACTCAATATTCAATTGATTATTATGACAGTAGGACAACTATGACCATGACTATGACAACTAACAACTACCAGTGACAGTGACATCAGCAAAAGCAATTCATTGAAATTGTATCCAGTCTCCTCAGCTGTCATCGTCATTGAAGAATGAACGAGCATGGCCCACAGCAGGTCCTGAGGTTGCGGAAACACTGTGACAGTATCAGTAACAGTCCAGTCACCGTCACCCCGTCACGTCCGTCACGTCGTAACTGCCCTTGACTCTTGCTTGACCTTGCAAACAAGTTTGCTAACTGTGACTGTCATATATAATCTAAAACAATATATATATATATAGTACAAATATAATATATTGTATACATATAACATGTGAGATAAATTACATGTTTGTTTTTGTTATTGTTTTTGTGGTGCACTTGAAGCACTTGTGCACTATGTGTACTGTGTAACTGGTCTAAAACAAAGTTCCAAACCAACTGCGTCAACTTGTCAATTGCATCGTGTTATCTGAGTCTGAGTGTGTTGAATAGTGTTGAATAGTAGCCTACATACTGACCTATACTGTACAATGGAGGAAATACGTTGGTAACGCGCAATGCAATGCAAACAAAACACGGAAACCGCAAACACAACAAACCAAGTCCTTCCACTGTCATAGAAAGGTGGCAGTGAAGCTGAGGTCAAGCTGGGAATGCTGAATTTGAACTGGTTATCCTCCGCCGACCTCGCCAAATCCACAACCTCGCTGACAAACTCAGAGCACGCTGAATGCCAGAACCTCACACAAATCAGTGACAAAGACATTGACATTTGGGCTCTGGGCCACTTTAAACGCGAAGGGCGACAATATGTCCATGAACCTGCCGTCATAGTCCCTCGCTTTTCAGAAAAGAGCCACCCACGAAAGCTGTTCGAAGCCTGCCGGCCCCTATTGGCGGGTAGCTCTTTTTGAACAAAAGCTGAACAATCGCAATTTTTCAATATTTTTCAAATATCCCAAATGTTTCAAAAATTCCAAATGTTTCAAATACTGCTGTACTAAGTATACTAATACTAGCTGTACCAAGTGTGTACTGTAGCGACTGTAGCAACAGACAGGCAAACAAGTTTCAACTACCGTTTCAGCCGTTTCAGCCTCAGCCAGTGTCGCAGTTGTTTTGAAGCTGTTTCCCCGGACGCATGACGCAATGATGCCCCCAAGAGAGCCAAGGCCAAGAACAACCCCGCTACCACCACCACTGCACTAATTAGTGGCACTAGTACACTAGTCAATTGGCCGGCCTTTAACTTTAACCTTTTACCTGATTGTTTAAGTTGTTTAAGTTAAAGTATAGTCTGAGTCAAAGCAGTCAAAGCAGCTATTCAGCTACTCTGACAACAAGAAGCAGAAGCAGAACTGAGCAACATACTCATAATTAACAGTGCACTTTATTGGCTCCAGTTCCACAATAATGACAGCAACAAAGGACCGACCGACTCGACTGAATTGGCAACCAAAGCGCTGCAAGCACACAGGGCATTGGAAGCACACGCCTTTGCCAAGAAGTGCAGGGAAAGGAACATTTTGCTCACTTGAGCGGAAGCTGCACAGGAGACAGTCGTCATCATCCTCGCCACTGTCATCCAACTCCTCCAAGTTCAGATTTGGATTTGCGCCGCCTTGCAGGCGCAATGCAAGGTCACACATCTGCTGAAGCCGAATCATTTTCGAATCCATCACTGGTCTCTCTTGATACCTGTAGCCTCTGGCTCTTGCCATAGCAACGCCTGTGTCCGGGCAAATGACAAAAGCCTCCTGTAGGTTGAAGGCCTCTCGCAGCCGTCCTACACAAACAAGCGCTTTCACCCGCATTTGGTGATCCAGCTCGACTGGTCTGCCAGCCGTTCCTGGAGTTTGCCAGTGTACAAATCGGGCAGAGATGTCAGTCTCACCACCACCAGGTTCTTCTAGTTTCACCACCACCAATGACAAGTTCCGGCCGGCTTTACTTGCTTTCCTGCCCTCACTGGCCTGTTCATGGATTTCAGCCCCAAGTTTTGCCTCCTTGCACCAAGTTCTCAATGTTTCCTGCACAACGTATGACATGTGCAATCCTGCAACATGTTGTTGCTCTTCTCTGAGGTCCATGTCGCCAAACAAGTGAAGCCGTTTCAACTGGACCAGTTGTTTGAACCATGGCGATTCCAAGGGGTAGGATGGCGCTGCTGCCGCTGCAGATGATGCTGCTACGTGGGATGAAGATGAGGATGTTGACTCTGTGGGTTGCGCCCCAACTTCAAAATTACCCAGCAAAGAGTTGCTTTGCAAGGATGCTTCGATGAGCGCCTCCTGCTCAGTCATGCCATCCTTGCAAGGCTGTATGTTTTTGACTATCTAGTTAGTCTAGTGACAGTGTCAGCAGTAGCAGTAGTAGTACTACTTTGTCCAAGTACGGGTCGGTTTCGTTTTGTTTCTAGTCTTTGGGCCTTTGGCCCTTTGGCCTAGCCTTTGACTCTTGACTCTGACTGTGAGTCAATTGAAAGTTAAGCTATACACTAGACAGAGCGAAAATAATTACATACCGCTGAACACTACAATACGGTTTCCTTCTGGCGAACTTGTTTTGGTAATTGGCAATTGGCGCGCTGCATTGGCAATAGTTCTTAACAAAAAATGGGACCCGGATACTAACCTGGATCTGGATCTAGAACCAATTTATTGTATTACGACTCTCAAGCACTCAGTATGGCCAATGTCATACATCATTGAACTTTGGTCCTGGTAGTCCTATCGAGTCTAGTGGTCCACTTTAGTCCACTTTCTGTTTAGGACTTGTTTTGGAGTCTGAACACTGAATCATCAGAAGCCACATGGGTTCCTTAATTCGTCCAAGGTACAGCCATTTGGGCATTTGCAACTGCCAGAAACTCTTCCCCCTTGCTCATTGGAACCCCTGTCTTCAACGCTGAAGAAACCAACTCCACTTCCATTCGCCGTTGCTCAGCTTCCATCATTTCGGTCTTTTGTGCTTCTCCCCAAGATTGATCGTCCTCAGCAAGAACCTCGGTGGGCTCGTCAAATTGATGTCTAGTCGCTGCCTGGGCAAGGGAAGCCTCATCAGTCGCCTCACCAGAGCCACAATGCTTCTCCTCAAACTGTTCTAAGAAACCATTGACTGTCTCCATGACACCGTCATCATCATCACTGTCTGAACCAGAGGAAGCTTCGTCTTTAGTAGTGTGATGACGCATCTCGTTCCGGATGTATTCCACAAGGTCAGGGTCGTCACTTGCAGGCTCAGGCTTGGTAGTAGTAGTAGTGGCCTGGTCGATAAATGGCTTCTCGGCAAGCTTGTCCAATGCCGCACAAGACTGCTTGTTCAAACGTGACAGGCGTGTCAGTTCGCACCAGGAGCCAGGCACCGGTTCCAATTGGCCGTCCTGAGTGCAAATTGGACGCACGCTTGGCACACGGCACACCGGCAAACATAACATAACATCATAACTAACTAACAAGTGGGAAGGTATGTGTTACAATTTGCTTCTATCGTCTGCTAGGAGTCTACGAGTCTACTACTACTCTACTACTTATCAATCTGATCAATCTGAACAAATGAATCCACAGCACCTTAGACTGGAACCATGGACCATAGACAGGGACAGAGACATAATAATAATAGTAGTAATAGAATAATAGACATATACTGGCTGGATGCTGGACATCCAGGGGTCCAGTGTCCAGTGGACACTGGACACTGGACCCCTGGATGATTCGATGATGCTAAGCTTCCAATGACTCCAATGACTCCAATGACTCAACGACAAACAAATCAAATGAAAGAGATGGCTGTGGGCTGTGGGCTGTGACTGTGATGGCCCGTCATGGCGCAATGGCCGATGGCCTACCTGGCCTACCTATTCACTAATCTACGTTACTACGTTAGAGTTGCTTGTACTGCTTGTAACTTGTAACTGCTTGTATCTTTTCTGTCTTTTGTGTATGGTGATCCTACCGTCCTACCGCTGAGTGGTTGACTGATGTGTAATATAGGTAGTATTATGCCAAAGCAAAATCAATAACCACTATATACAGGTATTGAAAAACTTATAAAAATCTGCCAAGCTGCGACACGAACGTGCAGAAGGAACTCAAAGATACAAATTGTTATTTGTTGACGAACCATCGGGTTGAATCTCTCAAACACTTTGTGACTCTTGAGGAAAGCCCACGGCTGTTTCAACTCATATCTTCCACTTGACAAGCGCCTCAATGCCACAAAGTGAAGAAGAGTTCTGAACTGGTCAGTCACAAGAAAAACTACCGGTGCATCTTGCGGAGCTTTTCCATCCATGACGAATGCAACCGCTCGAAGTCCTGCCTTCACTGAGGAGGCACAGCTGCCGGTGAGTTGCTGTGCCTTTGCCTGAGACCTGTATTTTGAGTTCACAGAGGCTGCCCACACCTTGCCAGCAGTGACAGGCGGAAACAAGTCTGGATCAATTTCCCTTTGCGCAGCGTTGGCTGTCGCGAGGGTAGGGCAACCAGCTCGTGGACCGCCAACAGGCTGAAAGCGATCTTCGGTGTCAACCTCATGCATGAGTGCCCACCCTGACATAAGCTCTGTGTGCAACTGTTCAGCGTGAGGACGCAGCACAGAAAACTTTGGTCGGCCAGCAGCGGGAACAAACCCCGAATCCTTCGAGAGATAGTGTTTCAAACATGCACGCGCTGATCCCAGATCAAGGTTTCCATTTGGACATCTCTCCCCAAACAGTGACAGGCACTTGTTGAGTCTTTCACTTTCCTGTACATCTGCCTCCAACATGAATCCAATAGCGCGCAAAGTGACAAACAGCTTCCAGGTGCCGTATCCAGTGCTGGCGCAAAATGCAAGGTCCCTTGCAAACAAAGCACGGATCTTCCGAGTATTGCACTCTAAGGCATCTTCGGAGGAATCCAATATCTTCTTTGCACGCTGCTGGCGGTCAGAGCCTGACAGTCAAGAGTCAAGGTCACCAAGGTCCCTATAAAAAGGCGTCGTCGGCGGTCAAGAAACTGTTTGTAATTTGTAAAGCCAAGTAGGTACAAGTAACGAGCGCAACAAATTGACTGTTTCACTGCTTTACGTCCGTTCATGTATAATATAGTATATATTAATATGTATATATAAATATATATATATAATAAATACATACTACATTATAAGTCGTAATGTATAGTATATAATATACATTATTATTATCATTATGTTGCTTTTGCTTCTGATTCTTCTTCTCGCCAGTCCAGTCCAGTCCGTCTTGCTATTATTTGCTCCCATTGCTCACAACTCACAACCCACAGCTGTTATGTGCCAATTTGGACATGGTCCATGGTTTCGTTTAAGACCGGCCTTCGACGAATCGTTTCTTCTCATGTTTCATGGTTCATTGTTGTGAGTCGTAAGGCTGCCAACTTTAGTCAACTTTAGTGCTTGGACCTGATTGAAAGTGAGCAAGTCATCTTGGTTATTCTTCATCATTCCCCCCAACCCCCCGGCCCCCCAGCCCCCAGCTGGCTGTGCTGCCGAGGGGCAAAAGACGTGAGGCGGATGTCTTGCCAGTTCCAGAAGCAAGAACGGGTATCGCAGCAAATGCTCAACGATTTTCCTGTGATAGCCAGAGCAGGAATGCAGGATGTTATCCAACCTTACTGTCAATGGATGTCCATGGGCATCGCCCACATGGAAAATCACTGCGCATGGAAACAACAACGCAGCGCCGCAGCGCCTACTCCCGCCATGATATAATATTCTGTGCACAGCTATGACTCAGCTATGACTCAGCATTCAAAACAGTCGGCTTGGAGGGGTAAAACAATGTAAAGTAAAGCGCAACAAGAGGAGACGAGAGGACAGGATCGGAGAGGAGAGGAGACGAGAAGACAAGGGGGCCCTTCTTCGCGTATGAGCGACGCAAAGTTCCTTGCAAACTGCGCATCCTGGTCATTGTCATCAACGGTACCATCCCAGGAGTCAACAATCTTACGCCATTGATCGGAGAACTCTTGCCTGAACTCCAGCGCCCTTCCCAAGACCAGCTGAGCAATGTGGCTGCTTCTCCATGTCTTCTTATTTTCCGGTCCCCGCTTCTTCAAGAAATTCGAGAAGTGAGATAGTGGTGCTCGCACTTGATGCATATTGCCAACAGTTTCCCACCAAAGCTTGTCACTGACACAGTCAACTGTTTTGCGTCGCCACTTCGACATCTTTTGGCTGTAAGCTTTGGTTTCCTCGATTGCAAGCTCGTCGACTGAGGCATGCGACTGCGACTGCTTTTTGCTGGCTTCTTTCCTCGACTGAGAGCCAAGGATTTCTGTAAGGATTGGGGTGAGCCTGGCCTCTCCACACTTGATGAAGCGCTCCTCGGGTTTCTCCAATCCAGACCATCGGCCTGAGCAGGCTCTAGGCCACAATGTCTTGGCCACCTTTTTTGCATCTTCATACCCATGCCGCTCGCACCAACATGAGAACAGCTCCTTCCCAATGGATCGACACACGTTCGCAGCTGTAGCGAGGGAGCTGTAGTATCGCCACGATCTGTGTCCTTCCAGCGCTCTGTCCGCCGCTTTGAGGGCGGACAGAGCGACTAGGTGCTGTGAGTGCTCTAGGCATGTTAGATCGATGAACAATGTATGGGACATGTCCTTCACGTCGCAAAGCGCGATCTTCCGCGCCCCGACCTCATTAGACCCGCCATCAGTGGTCATGGTGTATATGTGGATCGCATTGGTCCTTAGATGTTCCAAATGGCAACGTCAAGAGCCAACGTCATGTCATGTCCTGTCTAATTTGACGCCCTGCCACAAAGGGCCAACAAGTATAGACTGTCACATTCCAGTCTATCTAGCTTATGACATTGGTCTGGTACCAGGCCTAGTACCAGGCCTAGTACCTTTATGTTGTCATTGCCGCATTGCCGCATTGCTGCTGCAATTGCACAATTCCCCAGATACGAGTCAGATACGAGGGCCACGAGAGAGCTATTGGGGTTACTTCAAGTATAGGCAGTGTGCACAGTGTGCGCTTTGGAGCTTGGGTGATGGTGCCGCTGTAGATGTGTGGCCCTCTGCGCTTTGGAGCTTGCTCGCTGGTGCCGCTCGAGGGTGCTGCGGTGAGGTGTCAGTGTGCTGCCCTTTGTTACCAGTAGCTTCTTGCTCCTAGTAGCGATGGCAGGCTGGCAGGTCTGGCGCGGCGTCGGCATAATGTAGTAATTAGGCTTTTTCTCCAGTGCTGTGGGCAAGGCGCCGCTGCTGTCTGTGCTTGGGAGCTTGGGTGCCGCTGCCGCTGCAGGGTGCCGCTGCTGTGTGCACTTGGATGGATGCTGGTGCCGCTACAGGGCGCCGCTGCTGTGTGCGCTGGGGAGCGTGGGTGCTGGTGGCTTGAGCCGGGCTTGAGCCTTGAGCCGGTGTCTGCTGTGTGCGCTTGTGTTTAGTGTCGTGTCGTGTATATACATTTACAACATTTACACATATACTGTACACATCTTTTGGTCCAGGAGCGTTGTGAAGGGAGAGGGAAAAAACTGCGACAGCTTGAGTGCCTGAGTGCAATGATTCTCATGCGAATGCTGGCGTATTTTGTGATTACACAAAATCATGACTCAGGCTCATACCGTACCAACAGAATCAAAAGAACGACTGACACAGGCATGCTGCTGTCGCAAAGCATCATCTGCCTGGATTTGCTTCCAGGTGATGCATCCCAATGACTCCAGCTGCTTGAGCATTTGGGCATATGTAGCCTCAGACGTGCCTGCCACCACAGGAAGCACGTCGGCCACCCGCACGATAGTGTCCAGCCACTCACTGATGTCAAAGTTTTCCCAATCAATGTCCGGAAGCTCATCGTCACAACTTGGCACATGTGACGCTTTAAGATATGCGCTCCGCAATATCAATGCTCCCATCTTCGAGCCCTTCAAAATGCCTGTGTTTGTAGCATCTTCCTTGAACGAGTGCAGTATCAATTTCAGCGGCTCAGAACTGGAACTGGGTCGTATCAGCTCATCATACATTGCACGAAACCAGATTCGACTGCTGGCAATCAATGCTGTTCCAGCTTTGGTCTCCGCCCGGCACACAGAATATCGGGATATGTCCTGCAGAAGCACAGCTCCCAAGTCACTGGTAGCGATGTTTGATAGGTTGCGCCGGATAGCGAGGCTCAATGAACCAGACAAGGTGAGTTGCTTGCCTTTGCCACCTTTGGTCCTCTCTATGTCAAGAATGCTGGTGTTTTCCTGCTTCTTCTGCTTGCTCTCTAACTTTGTCACCTTCGCACAAAGTCTTCGCACTTTCTGTTGTAGGGCTTTGTTATTTGACACTGCCCTCTTCAAACGACGTTGAAAGTTGTTCTTGGCCTTCTTCTCCGTGGCGCAATCCTTCGATACTGGTTGCCAGGTTGCTGATTAGTTGCTGATTGCTGGGAGAGGGAGAGGAACGCAGAACAAGGAAGTAAGAATAAACAAAAAGTGGAACAAACAGACCAAATCACCAAATCACTCAGACTCACAACTACACTTCTCTGGCGCCAAAGGCATTAACACTAAGACTTAGTCGGCAATAGTCATTCTATACTGTGATTGGCAATGATGCCATACTCAGAGAGTCATGTCAACGTCTAAGTTCTAAATTGCAAACGGCCCTGCTTGAAAATGTGTGCCATATCATGTGAGGAGCTGACCTCGCTGAAGCTAATTCAACTTCCAGTTCATTCAATCGACGTTGAAGTTGTTCTGACAGGGTGGAGACAGAGGCAGCTGAAGGCGTGCACGGTGGTGTGGGTGCGCTCACTTCTCCGGCTCCAGCAAAAATATAGCGGCCCATACCAGAAGATGATGGTGTTGTTGAACCTACCTGTGTATGCTCAAACGCGGCTGCACCACGACCAGAGTCAGGCTCGCTGGTCCCAAGACTAAGACTCGAACCTTGCCGCATCATTCCAGGATTCATAGGGCCCAAACCCAAGGGCGTTTGTCCCCCAATCTCTAAATCTATCTTAGACTCCTTTGCCCGCCTCACAAAGTTCAGACACTGAGCCCAATTCTCACTGTCCAAATCAATTTGGCAAACTCTCTGCAAAAATTCTGGAATGATAGATACATCAAATGGCATCTTGCCATCAGTAGCGTTTGCATCCAGATCTTGCGCCTGTGCAAAGCGCCAAACACCAGCTTCTTGTTGTAAGAACCACCCAGTCTTTCGACGGAGTGACTGGGACAAGGAATCATCTGCTGTAGTATCCAATGGGTTCCTGGCAGCAGGAGGTGCAGTCGTTTGTTTCTATTGCAGTCTGTTTTGAACCCAAAAGGAAAATGTACCGGACATCTGGAATTTGTCAGTTGGATCCTCAGTGCAACAGAGAATAAACCTCGACAAACAGTACAAAAATGGACGCTGTGTCAAATGCCAAGCCATCTATCGGGAAGGCTAGATCCTTCTTGGTAGAGGGATAACCCAAATGATTGCACACCCCGCCGCCTCATTCGCATGGAATGGGTAAAAGATCCCCGCACAATGTTTTGCAACACTCAAAGTTTGTAACACTGAGAAACAGCGTCCTTAAAATATCAGCGGCCACATTCACCAACCAATGCAGATGTTCTTCGTGGACGCACAGCCCGCTTGGCGAAGGGGCCGGAAAAGCAACGACATGCAGGAGTGTCAGCAATTGATCCATCACTGGACCCAGTTGGCACACTAAAAACACGTGTGTTCATGAGCAATTGCGTAGAACACCATGGTTTAAAAATTGTGAATCAGAGGAATCCTGAAACATATATGTGTGGCAACATGTTTTTTCCTGTGTGAGGACCATGGTTTAAAAATTGTGAATCAGAGGAATCCTGAAACATATATGTGTGGCAACATGTTTTTCCTGTGTGAGGCCCACTCTGCTTTCGTCCTTCCTTGTGTGAGCCATGTTTCTTTTGCCCAATACTTTGACACTCTTTAACGGCCAGGTAGCAGCGCGCTTCAATGCATATCCACAGTCTTGCCACACAAAATGTACTCATTCACCACTGCATTCGCACGCTATCCATATGTGGTTAGAGTTGCAATTGCAAAACATCAGGTTTCCGGTGATCAAAAGGAAACAGTTCCTACCCCCACATCAGGTTTCCGGTGATCAAAAGAAAACAGTTCCTACCCCCACCAAGCCCGCCAGGAAGCATACCCTTTCTCGCTTCCTGGCGGTTGCCTGGCTTCACTCCACCAGTCCAAACGCACATCCCTAAGCGTGCGGGGACGAAGCCTGCAAACCCTGGCCATGAGGGTCAGGGTGATGAGTCTGACGTTGATGAACGTCAGGCTGCAATTAACAATGGTGAAAGCTCTGGATCCAGCAGTGCCTCGGACGACGACAATGCAGCGGCTGCACCTTCACAGAACGAGAGCGAAAGCTCTGACTCTCATGAGTCATCCTTGCTGCGAGCACCGACATTGGTGTTGGGCCAGTCTCCAAAGGCCAAATCTGATCATGAGTCCGGGTCTGCATCGTCCAGATCCACTTTGGAGCAATCGAGTGATGAGGAGGAGGAGGAGGAGGAGGAGGAAGCCTGGCCGGATTCCCAGGTGAGTTCGGGATGGCTTGGAAAGGCGTACTCGCACTTTCGCCAGCGGGAGGAGAAGGAACAGGCGAAAAGCAAGGTCAAGATGACCATGAGGGATCTGGAGGGTGACTTGAGGACGGAAGTCGGTCAGCATCCTTGCATGCCAGGTTACTTGGCGTACTGCAAAGACCAACTTTGTCGCTATGGCGAATCTTGCTACTCGAGCTTGACATCCAGGGACGCGTTTCTGACATGGCTTCGCGGTCAGAAGGGCGACAAGGACAGTGGTGTTTTGTTTGGGCGCTGGGTGTTGTTTTCTGTTGTTGTTCAGTGTTTGTTCATTTGTGCTAATTGTAGGGCAGCTAGCGAGTGAATATCTACCATGCACGCACTGCGCAGCGTTCTGTGCAAAGTGTTGCAACTCAGCAAGTGAATATCTACCCTGTACAGTGTGCAGGAATCTGTGCGCAGTGTTGCAAAGCCTCTCAACCGAGCACTTTCCGTGATGAACCTGAAGCAGACTTTGGACGATGACCAGAAAGCCTTTACGATGCCTGCAAGCAAGCGACCAAAGCTTACGTCAGCTGTTGAGCTGGTTCTGGGGGAAGGGCCAAAGAGAGTTGTTCCGCCGCAATCTGTTACTTGCAAGCAATTGGTCACATATCAACCTTTTCTTGCAAGAACTGGGTATGTTATGTTGCAAAACGGTCGAAACCAAAATATATTCACGCCACTGACAACTCCTGTTTTGCAGCCTCACTCAAAAGCACCTATACATTTGTCGCAAACCATATTCAGGCCCAGAAGATGGCAGCTTTGAAAGCTGGTGGTGATCCTGGTGCTGCTGAGCGCCTGACTATCTTTGCAGGCCAAGATTTGCAGGCCTTGCAAATCCCCAGCCGGGCATGGCCGCTGCAGGATAAGGAGTACAAAGGAAAGAAGGGCTATACGGTCCACAGTGTTTCAGGGGCCGAAGCTCAGCTATCCTTATGTTGTTGGGATTGTTGGGCCAGATTGAAATGAGCCAGTAATAAATAGAACCATCCCATTTTAGTTTGAGATGAACCAATGATAGATAGAAACACACCTGTGCAAAACTCTTCAAGTTTGATCGTCAGACTGGCAATCTTCCCTCAACCAAAGTCAAGCTAGCAAACCCAACCCAAAAGTTAGGCAGTGACACCTCTTCACACATCACTTCGATCCAAGGCCATTGAAGTCTTAGTCTTCACCCGCGCCTATGTGGTCAAGAAGATCGGCGGGGGAGCAGCGAAGCATCCTGGGAAGCTGGGTCAAGTCTCTTGGGCGAAGCACGGTGGGGCGAGCCTTGCGTGGGATGTGGCTGTTGAACGAGCCAATTTCATTTAATCGCAGGGTATAGTGATCTTTTGATCATTTATAGGGGTGGTCCATAGGGAGTTGAACATCACTCCAGGGACTTATCTTGGGGAGCGCAATGCAGCTACTGACACGCAGCTGCGCCAGCGCAAATCTGGCGTATCTGAGCCGCCCGCAAAAATAGATGAAGGGTGACAGTGAGCGTCCTCCACGTCCTCCACCAAAGATGGCGTTGCATGTGAGCTGTTGTAGTCTACTTTGGAAAGAAGGTTGTTGAAGGCTGTTCTTCAATCCTCAACCGTCTACTTTGGAAAGAGGTTGGTACTTCAATCGTGAATCATGTACAAGGGTTGGGCTCAACTGTGACCAGCTTCATCCCTGCTTTGGTGTTTCCAGCGATGAAGCGCTCCGATCCCCGAGCCAAGCTTTCGGCGCTGACCCTCAAAAGGGCACGAAAGGCAGCTCGGGAGTTGCCCTTCAAGGGTGATGATGGTGTTGCCGCCAAGCGCCAGACGATGAAAAATCGTCAGCGTCGGTGGATGCTGGATGGGCTGAAGCACTTAGGAGCACCCATCGTCACTTGCATGAGTTCATCAAATTGTCCAGAGTCCCAACTGTCTATTCTCTATCTACCTACCTACCTATCTATCTGCCTATCTATCTATCTATCTATCTAGCTATCTATCTATCTATCTATCGATCGATCGATCGATCTATCTATGTATGATGTATGCCCTACTGCGCCAAGGTGTTCGCCCAGCTCGTGTCCTTGATCTTTGCCGTGGACGGCTTGGATTGGTCATCGCCTGGTCAGCATGTTGAGACATTTGCTGGAGCCATGTCAGTGACGCGCGGAGAGTGGCAGGACAGAACTTGGGAAAGGTTGTTGATGGCCCCTCAAATCACCACTAAAGCAAACGAAGGTGATACCGAATTGCCAGTGAAGCTGCGAATCAATCCAAATCCCAATCAGCTCACTCAACCTTGATTGGAATGCTCAAAACCCTTGTTTCAAGTGCAAACACAAATCTGTTTCGAGCGTCCAAAAAGTGTACCCTGAAGGTTGGTAGGAAAGCAACCCCACTCGACATAGAGATCGACCCTGTCGGCATGGATCTGACGACAGACCAGGGATTCGCGAACGCTTTGTTTCAAGTAGCAAACTTGGAGCCTGGTTCAGCATCGATGAGCGCGCCTGTTTGCTCGACATTTGTGTTCATGAGCTTCGGCAGAGCTAAGTGCAGGTTTTGGTTTTTCATGGACGTTGATGCCCCTTCGGCTGCCCTCGTCTAAACCTATTCCCTTTCCAAATGCCCCCTCCCAACACTGGAATCCAGGTCGAAAGGCTCACGCCTGCGCAGCAAACTCAACCCGTTGGGGAAGGTCGACCTGGAGTGCGTCCGCGTGGGCAATTTGCTCGCAGCGCGTGCATGCGTACTGTGCCTTTTGTGCGCCTGTGGTTTGGTGGGTGTTGGAGCAGCCGGCCAGCTCCACACTGGAGTACTTGCCAATCTTTCAAGACATGGTGAGAATGATCCCATGCAGGCGCCTTCACATCTTCATGAGCCATTACGGCGGCCCTACAAAGAAGCCGACTTACCTCTATTCCAGTGACTTGCAGCGGAACAATCTTGCAGAAATGTTCGTTTTCCGGCATATGGTGGTGGGATCTTTTGACATATATCCATAGGGATCCATTGTTGTGCAACTTTCAACTTTAGCAGCTTTCAACTTTATTAAGGCTCTCCAAACCACTTCGAGGCCACCTGTTAAACTGTTCCTGGCTTCATGTCATCTCAGGTCACCAACAGATTGATGACATCGCGAGGTTCAGAGTAGCAGAGAACTTGCAGAATCGGAACATGACAGTGCACTACGTGGATGGGTCTGGCAAAAACCGCATCTGTGCGGGATCTGATCTCAAAGTTTCCCAAGCATATCCAGCGCAGACTTTTGTCTCAAGTGATGATACCTTTTCCATGTTTTGAATCTGTCCCTGTATCCTCTTCCAAGTGATGATACCTTTTCCATGTGTTGAATCTGTCCTCTATCATCCAACCTTTGATCTTTGGAAGTGGGTCCAAGTGCGCCAGCGCCAATTCCCCAACCCCCTGCCGCCTTCCAAGGTTTGGAAAAGCATTGGCTCGCTGTCGCACCTTGCATTGGAAGGAGAATGTGAGGAGAGCTCGGCGGTTTCTCAGGGTAGCCCGCAGGACTGGCAACCAGTTTGACCGAAGAAAGCGGGTGAATAACCTGTGGACTAAAGCGGCAAATCTTGAGTCCGTCATGACATTTCTTGCCCAGCAGTAAAGCTTTTGGGCGACCTCTGGATGCTACATAGTAGCATGCAACAATTCATGCGTTAGCTACTTGCGTGCTTAGACGCATAGTGGACAGTGAATGGGGACGTGAAAAAAGGTCATTTCTTGGAGGGGTTGAGGTGACGCTTCAACATGCCAACAACTCCTACCAGGAAGCTCCATTCCAAACCTGAGTCCCGTGTGAGGCCACCGTCACCATGTGCCCAACCAGGTACACCCAAAACACCTAGACGGCTTCCTGGCCAGGTGGAGGCCTTGATGCCTCGTTTCTTCATCCAGCAGGTTGGCAACACGTTCAGTGCCACTGGCTTGCTTCTGCAGGGGTGCCAACACGTGGAAAAAATAGACAAAACACACCCAAAGCACTAGTGCGCTTTGCCGAGAAATTGATGCGATTTGCCGAGAATACATGCGCTGTGTAGAGTGCCCACGATTTCCATACTGCAGCATTCGATTTTCAAGTTGGTGACCGCCCGAATATGCCTGAGTGTGAGGTTAGGCGCCGGATGACTTCGAAGGGGCCAGAGCGTAGCAGCTCTTCCAACTCCAGGCAGCCTGCCCTTCGCCAACCTGGAAGCAAGCCTGGTTCACAAGACCCTTCCAGGAAGGTTCAGTGGGCTGCAGGGCCTGTCAAGATTGCAAAAACAAAGGATAGCGAGATGGAGAAGAGAAGTCGGAAGGAGAAGAAAGTGAAGAAGCAACAAGAAGATAGCAAACCAGTGGAAGTCAAGAAGCGCAAGGATAGCCAGGGCGCTGGCAAGGAGAATGAACGGTCACAAAAGATTGATGCAAAGAAAGAAAGCGCCAAGAAGCAGAAGGTAGATGACAAGAAGAAGGAAAAGGATGAGAAGGAGAATGACAAGAAGCCGAAAGAGAAAAAGGAAAAGAAGAGGAAAGTTCCTGAGACGAAGGAAGCTGAGGAAGTTGAAGCAGGAGAAGCGAAGAAGCTAAAGGAGAAGGAAAACAAGCAGGAGAAGAAGCAAGACAAGAAAGAAGACGACAAGAAGGACGAGAAGGACAGAAAGAATCGAAAGGATAAGGATAAGAAAAAGAAAAGAAAGGCTGAGAAGGAGGGGGGCAAGAAGCCAAAGAAGCAGAAGCAGTCCAAGAAGGATGACAAGATTGTGTATGTCCCCATGATCGCCGGACAGATGCAGCATGTCTTTGAGTCGCCTACAGCAGCAGCACCAGCAACACCAAGCACGACAAAGGCGAAGGCTGAGGCTAAGTTGAGATCATTGCAGTCGCTCTTGGAGACCTGCCCGCCTGACACTGATGAGGAGACACATTCATTTGTGCCACCCGCGGAGTCAGTGGCGCAAGAAGGAGATGCAGAAGGTGAAGAAGTGGAGACTGATGAAGAGGAGGAGGAGGAGGAAAACGATGGAGAGGATGAGGAGCTGGAGACTGAGGCATTTGTCGAGGATGACAGCGATGATGACGATAGCTATGATGAAGAGTCAGAAGAAGAAGAAGAAGACGAGGCAAACAAAGGCGAAGGTGAAGGGAACGAAGAGGAGATGAGCAGTGAAGGAGAGTCCGAAGCAGAGGACGATGAGGAGGAGGATGGAGAAGTGAAGGGTGAGGGTAAGGGGGACGACAAGGTTGACGTCTCTGACTGCCGTGCGCTTGTTCCAGTGGTGGAATCTACGTCGGAAGGGACTGTGGCACTTCGAAACAGCAGCTTGGTTTACAAACTGCGAACTTTTCTTTCAAGATTGGGATAGAGTGAAGGGGTTACGGTTTCAGTTTTCTTTCAAGATTTGGATGTAGGGGTTATGACTCTTGGACCTGTTTGCCAATGCTTGCCAACCTCTCCTGTGCCCTTTTTGTCCAAGGTGTGACAAACAAGCGCGATTGGGACAAGTTTTGCAGGCAAGCCAGCTGTCGATCCAAGTTCCCTGTCGCGCTCAGCGAGCACTTTGTCAACAACAAGTTGGACCTCTTCAATCTTTGGCTTGACAACAACAAGAGTTGGGAGAAGTGCAAGGTCGAGGTTGAGCGCAGGGCTGAATTGGAGCACCAATCGGTGCGGGGTTGGGAAGCGGTTCAGGGGAAAGATCTTAAGAAGCGCTACACAGAAGAGAAGTACGAGGCTTTGGTCAAGTCTAGGAAAGCCGCCGGACTTTGGTATCAGTGTGATGATTTCCCAGACGACCCGGACGACCCACAGCTGTACTGCAGTATGTTTCCCTACCAGGAGAGGTTGAAAGGACTTAAAAACCAAAGGTGTCACAAGGATCCTTGTGACACCTTTCGTTTATAAGTCCTTTCAACCTCTCCTGGTAGTTGGCAACTGTATTTTTATTTGAGCCAATCCAATGAAGGTTGATTGGAGACAAAAACAAACTACTTCTCAAAAAGGAATACACAGGGATCATACCACCACCTCAGCAGGGTCTTAGCCTATCATCACCTTTTTTATCTCTTCGTGACAAATCCTCTAAAGTGTGTTGAATGGGCCCTAAGGAGTGCTGGTACTTCATGCGCTCAGCCCAAAAGTTCAAGCGAATCGACAAGACCAAGGAAGGCATGGCTTTGAGGGCTGAGGCTTCAGTTGATGATGAAGCCCGAGCTCTACTCACCGGCGAGCACGGCCCCCTTCAAGCCGGGGCGCTTCCAAGCGTTGACGCGGTGTCAAAACCAGGATGCAAGGCCCTCCTCGATGCTGTGAACAAGGCGCTGATGCAAAAACTGCCGCTAGAACGCCCAAACACAGATTCAACATGATTTAACAGTGTGTTGCTGAATGAGCAACATCTCAACCCAACCATTCCAAAGTTTCTCTCTCAACAGTTCCATTCCAACAGAGGCCTCAACACGAGCCAACAAACCCCAAATTTGGGTTGGTGGACTGCGCTTCTTTACATTCTTGACCTCTCTTGGTTGGGGTTGCGCGCTGTCGACCCTTGGGTTGTTCGTGTGCAGGTTGGGACCAATCCAAAGCCAAAGAAACCGAAGCCAGAGGAGGAACCCAAATCCGAGGAGGTGGCGCCAAAGACTTCTCTTGACCTGTTGAAGGAGACCTTGCCAAAGCTTCTGTCCTATGCAGCAACTGCTCGAACGCAGTCCATTTCTTTGTCGAATGTGGAGTATGCCTCTGAGCTGAGCCAGCAGCTCTTGAAGCACGCTGAATCCATGGAACAGTTGTTCAAGAGGGTTCAGAAAGCCACCGACAACCCTGTGGATGATGATAAGATTCTCACAGGTCTTTTGGATCAAGTGAGAAGCAACGAGGCCTTTCACGAGAAGGCCAAGGCGGGGTGAGCCAAGCCTTGAAACACTGGGCCAGTCATGTTAAAAACAGATTTGAAATCTTTGCACCAGTTCTACACCAAGCCGTATAGAAATCCAGCCCACGCTCAACACATGTCCCTTTCACCCTGGACTCCTCGCCGTACAGGCTGCTGCCGGCGCATTCCTCAAGAAGAAAGGCAAGGGGGCAAAAAAGAAGGTGAAAGAGGAGAAGGCCAAGTGAGCTTTCCTTCAGGCACCTTTGTTTTGGGGGTTGATACAAGTGCAAATCACTTGTACGTTCTGAGCACAGCGCTCCCATAGAAGATGGTGGGGCCACAGAAGTAGGGAATGCAAAGCAAAGTATCGAATGTAAAGTATCGAACCAAGCTAAATCCAGCCTCATGTCCTTTCATGTATGTGAAACCCAATCTCATGTCCTTTCATGTAGCCTGCCATCCGGGGGAGTGATGGAGATCGTGATCAACTTAGATGCCGCGTCATGAGGAAATGGGCGCTCCGCCGCGCTTCTCTTCCAACCCCTTTCACCCTTGGGACCCCGGTGCCGGCCGTTGATGCCAGGCCAGTCCTTCGCTCGCAGGACATGGTCGGGGAGCTTGTGCCCAGTTACTGTCATCAAAGCATATATGAAAGCTATCGGGAACAACTAAAGATCTAAGCAGTTGATGTGTCTAGCGGATTTACCACAGACTAGCAGTTGACATGTGCGGTGAAGGTCTCTGAAACTAGCCAAGACAGGTGAAGCACACTTCAAACTTAGAACTTCAATCGTGATTGAAAGATAAAGGAGTTTTCATGATTCCAGGAGGAGCAAACGCCGCAAACTTGAAGAATACCCTGAATCCTCTACAGTCAACAAGCTGATCTCTCTCATTGGTCGTGGAGACATGAACGTTTCAACTGCGGTTGATCTCGCAAACGACGTCCTCCAAGACCACGACATTCCACCTGGTGCACTTCGAGCTTTTGCCTCCTTGGGCGCGTCAGGTGGGCACTTGCAAAACGCAGAGCGCGACTTGCACCGGTGGCTGAAGAACCTGTTTGGGTTTAGCCTGCAACCATACACTATCGAGCTGGATCTACAGGTGGCTTTTCTAAGTGTGCAAAAGGTTTTTGATTGATGCGCTTACCACTCCTGCTTGCCAAAGAAACAGTATATATGGGAGTGTAGTATAGATGTTTTAATTCTCTAAAAGGCTCTAGATGGCAGCCGAAGGTTGACAGCAAGAAGACGAAACCGACCAATGTCAGTGTCCTCCTTCCACATGAAGTTGTTCATGCTTTGGCCTCATCAAACGTGCCGTTTGTCTGGGAGTCCATCATGCTGGGAAATTTGAACGCTGATGGCAGGTCACGCTTCTGGCAGCATGTGAGGGGCCTACGTCCCTGGAGTGAGCATCCGATTTTTCGAGAAGACGGAGTCTCTTTTGAGAAGCTTTTGGGCATCACAATACATGGGGACGGTGCGGTTTTCAAAAGAGATGATGAGGTGTTTGTATGGTCGATGTCATCCATATTCGCATTCGAAGGCGTGATTCAAGATGTTCTTCTCGTGAAGATACCCCTGTGCATCATACCCGAGAGATATATGGTGAGCAAGTCTGCTCTTTGGTCAACATTCAATACAAGTTTTTGTTTTGTTGTTCAGGCGCAACGAAAACTTCTTTTGACAAACTCCTCCAAACCAATGCGCTTCAGGGTTGGGAGACCATGTATAGGTGAGAGATTCCGTCAACAGTGAACTGGCTCGCCTCCTCGCATGGAGCTTCAAGCATGCAATGCGCGGCCGCGCGCCGGACAGGGGATATAGAGGTGAAGTTTTCAGCAAAACTACCTACCGGTATGAGTTGAGTGGCCAAGTTCTTGCATGTGGCTGGAGGAACTTGACTGAAATATGTGTTTGTTAGCTGTTCCCTCTGCACTCACGCGGTAGCCCTGAACATTTGTTATACAAGCTGCAATCTATTTCTTGTCAAATCTTGAACCCTGACAATGAGGGCGTGCTACTTTGCGATGAAGGGAGACCTCAAAGCGAGGAAGCAAATGAACAAATTCACACGACATTACGGCTGCAACTTGCCATTTGGCTTCTTAGTGTTTGCAAGCTGTGTGTCTCATGACATTTTTGTCACGTGTTCCAAGTATAACCACTGTTGTTTTTCAGAGCTTTAGGTTGTGTGAGCGGTGCTTGGCACAAACGGGGAAGCACTGCCCTGACATTATGTCATACAGAAACTTCGGAAGTGCAGCCTGGCCCATGACAGAAATCAGTCATGAGACATACTTGCAATTTGATCGAGATTCGCTGTCCCCTTGGGCCTGTGTCGACGGCTGGCGATTGGACACGGTAGCCTTTGATTTCCTACATATGGTTTACCTGGGCACGGGGCGCGATCTATTCGCGTCAGGGCTTCGAACACTGATCGAGCGGGGTGTATATGAGCACACTGGCATTGAAGACCTGGATGACCTTCTAGATTTTATTCATCTTGAGATGCACAGGGATTGTGGTGAAGCAGGGTTGCTCGTGTATACCTCAAGCGTCGCTTGTTTGTTCTTGTCTTTATTTTGATTGGGTGGTGAACACGGATTGTCGCATCGGTTGTTCTGCGAGGTTTTACTTACCATGCAAGCCCGTTCTCAATATCGCCAGCCTCGGGGGTCTTGAAGACTACGCAGAGCTGACATCCAGGTACAAGGCTTCTCACGTGAAGCTAATGCTTTGGTGGCTCACAAGGAAATGCCAAGTCATTTCTGACGGCAAACCGGAAGACACTAGGTTCACTAGCCCAAACCTTTGAATAGCTATTCAAATGTTTGGGCAAAACTCTTATAGTTATATATCGTATATCTATATATATATATTTGTTTTTAGTTATGTGTTTGTTGTGTGTGTTTGTGTGGTGTTTAGTGATCAGCCCTTAGCCCTAAGGATCCAATTCTTTCGGTGCTAGCGACCTGTCTTTGGGGCCTCCAACGTGTTGTGGAAATCATGAGCGAAAGTGGAATTGTGTTAGAGCCATCGAGTGCCCTTGAAGCGTCGCAATGTTTGCACCTGCATTTGCGGACCTATGCATGGCTCGCTCTGCACTACCATGATCAGAAGATCATGTTTTACAAAGTCCGGCCAAAAACACACTATCTTTTCCATATGGCAAATGAGATCGCAACCCTTCGACTTAATTTTGCTCTGTTTTGGACGTTCGACGATATATTTGCTTCGTTTTGTTTTGGATCAAACACTCTTCGGATGAAGGGAGTTCAAAAGGATTCTGAGGATCTTTGAGGTGAATAGAGCTTCTCAGTTCAACCCTTTTGGGATGCAGAACGGTTTCAAACAAATCCGGGGCGACATGACGACATGGACTTGAAGGTTCAAAGGAACTTGGCGAGAAGATACGTCAGACTTTGGAAAAATGAAAGTTGTGAATGACAAGTTGTCAAAAATAACACGTTGGTCGCGGCACACCCTCCGGGCAACGAGAAAACACAATGGCGCTGGTGAGGTTGTTTGATGCAAACCTGGGCCTCAGAAGTCCGAGGCGGGCGGTCAGCCCCCTTCTTGCGAAGGATGCTGCCGGGACGCCCGAAGTCCCGGCCCCCGTCGTACACGAGGGTGGGAGAGCGATGCTCCCCCACAACCTTATAGCAGGGATAGGGAAAGAGACAGACACAGATACCGACATACCGACACATTCCACGACGGAGACAGAGACGAAGACGAAGACAAACAGAGACGGGAGAGGGAGAGGAAGAGAGAGAGAGAGGGAGAGACAGCAAAAGATACCTAGATCGTTTATCGCGCCGCCTCCATTCTACGGTTTACAGACCCTAGTGGGCCGGCGCCCGGCTGTCAGGCGTAAGCCTCATAATAAGTTCTTTGTTTGTAAATGGCTCAATGGAGATCGTTTTCTGGGCAAACATGGTAAAAGCAACACTGAGGCTAGAAAAGTTAGGCAAAATGAGAGAAAACAGGAAGGAACGTCATGGTAAGTCCTTGTTTTATCCCTTTTTCAATCTATGTATTTCTTCATTCCTTTTTTCTGCTGGGAATGTCTTGGGACTTGGGGCCGGACCTTACGCCATATAAAATTAGACAGAACAAATGTACAGCTGCGAGCCCAGAGGATGAACGCCAAAGGTGATAGGCTGAGAGGGCCTGAACCACCGCCCACTGGCCAGAGGGGATGCAGCTCCGATGCACAATTAGCAAACTGCCGTCGTCTGCCATTGCAACTGCATCTTCTACTCTGCACACTCGACAATGTTGCCAAGGCGTTTGCAGAGAAGGTTCCCCTTCATAAATCGAAACCGTGAAAGAAAATGAACGTGTAAGGTCGGCTCCACTGCACTGCCATAGCCATAGGAAACGCCATACCTGTCAAGTGAAAAAAGGACCCTCGATCTCGTCAGGGGAAAAAGTGCTCAGCTGCGCACTCAGAGCGCCAAAGGCCCAATAAGGTAGGTCCCAAACAACTGGCACTCAATGACTGACCTGACACTGGTGGACCCCATGATGCTGACTTTGTGGAATCCAGGCAATGGCGGACTGCGAGTGCTGACTGCTCGCGCCTAGGCTCATGGCCTGCTGCGGAAGCTGCACAAGCCCTGTGCGCATGTCTTGTTTATGGCCCATTGGCCAAAACTGCGTATGGCCACGCGCTGTTGATATGGGCCTGTCACAAATGCAAAAAAGCCACCGACGCATGACGATATTTAATAATTGCTGGTTCGTTCCATCTGCAAGGCTGGAAGCAGCTAGACTCCAAACGAATTCAGCTGGAATGAGGTTAGTAGAAACCTGAACTGGTCTTCAACTATTGCTTGTGCCTTGACAGGCCAGTATTAACGAAGGTGCATCCTCCAAAAAGGAAGCATACCAAAACCTTAGTAGTCAAGCTGTGGACAGGAGCGGCTAGTAGGCTTCTAGAGAAACAGTGTGGCTAGCAGCTTGTTTGATTACCTCCTGTGTTCATCTGTCTTGGTGAAGGAAACTCAGATACAGAATCTGAGGGTCGAACCGATAAAATATCGAGGTCTACGATAGGTTGTCGAAACGTTTTGTTTTGATGCAATGCGGCTAGTAAGTATATAGATAATTCGTAATTTCTTTTACAACCACGCTTGTCTAGTCTTTACTTAGTTGCCAGCTTTACTTTCCAGTCCATCTAAACCCAAATCCCTGGTGGCAAGAGTTTCCAGGGGCCTTAGCCTTCCTCCATTTGGCTTCGTACACCCATGTATGCAAACAAGTTGTTGGTGCACGAGCCAATCCCATCATCAAACACAGAAGGTCGCTGCAGCATGTTCAAGACTTCTTTTGACAAAGGAAGACCTTTGTTCCGCTTGTCTTGAAAGCAATCTAGTAGGTACTAGTACGGAGCAGTAGTAAGGTGTATAGCAAGCCTAAGCAAACCCTCCAATCTTGTAGTTGGGCATAGATGTTTTATTTCCGAGTTTCGTTTCACTGCATAATCTTCACCTGGATGCAACTAAGCCAGAGTTCCGGCTTGAGCGTGGCATGGTTCGACAAGTTGCACAATGTATGAAGTCCGGATGTCGCTAGGTGGCTTGCTTGGAGTTTAGACTCTATGGTAGTACTCTCACAACCTAACACTTGATTCATATCCTTCTTTGGCAAATAAACAAAAAATAACAAAAATACAACCACCCGTTGGCACCGCAAATGTTGAGACATGTTCCAGAACCCTTCTCTGTCTGACAGCATGATGTTGACAAGTTCAGCATGATTGCACCCTCTGTGCCTGCATGGACCGAATCATGATGATGCCCAGCTTCGAGCCACGAAAAGCGGTCCACTCGAGGTACTACTGGTCAAGAATGTGGCAGTTGGGCCCGTGCACAGCTAGTCGACATTGTGTCAAAGCACATGGCTATGCAACCGTCTGTTTCAATCAAACAACCATCAGATATAAACAAATTGAAAAAATAAGTATATAACTCAAAAAGAATCCAAGTCTGTCAACAGGCAAAAAGACTCTTTTGGGGCACCTTGGCCTTCCATGCAAGGGAAGTACTGCTGTAGAGGGTGCATACATGGACCACTGCGGCTCAGCCTTCCGGATCAATAGCGAAACGATCAAATCGTGTATCACCTTAGGCATATATTGATTGCATGCAAGCATGCATGTATGCAGCATGTGGGTGTGCACACGTTCAGTTCACATGTCGTTGTGCGGATGGCAAAGTTGTACGAAGTTGCTGCCACAGAGAAGAACGCATTGCCTCCAACGCTTCAAGGCCTTCTATACCAGTACCATGAGCTGGTGCCGTAGCCCCTGGGCAAGGCACAAACATGCAAACATGCTGTGTAGATGCACTCTCCATCCCATGTTTTCTCGCTACGGGATACAGTAGTATTAAACCCAAAAGGTTTGCCACGCTAAAACCTGCCGTTTCAATTGTGGAGTATCCGCTGCAGCATTTCTGAGCCTCCGCCTGCAGAAAGAGCTTGCAATCGACTTGCCTTACATGGATCCAGCATGAACGAATCTGATGAATGGGGAAGTTGAGTTCTCCCAGCGAAAACATGTCAAGATTCCTCCTGTCGAGCCTGTGGCCAGAGCTGTGGAACGTACAGTAAGGTTTACAAAAGTCCCGGAATGGACAAATTTCTGGACATACAAATATTCACTCAAATATAGTGCCTGTCCAAACCAAAGCAGTTTCCTTGAAAACCCACAACATTGAACAAAGAATCGGGGCATTGGTGCTATCTCGGTGATGTAGTTTGTTAACTCCCCCTAATACATGCATTGCAGTCCTTCAAACCATGTCAGAACCCTTGTCATAGCCTCGGATTTGGATTATTGATGTGCAACGTTCCCAACACCAACATGAACAGTTCTGCCTTCATTGAGGGAAGGAAAAACATGGATATGTGTTGCAATTTATACAGCGCATCGGTTCGGAAAAAACCTTTGGTTCAACTTTCCATGTGACAAGTTGCTCACTTTCTCAGCATGCACAAGCATGAGTATGTATGAGTTCAAACGCTCGTCTTTAAATGTCCAAAGTAAATACTTCCATGACTCGAAGCAGAATCCTTGACACACTCCCAAATTGCAAACTCCTATCAGAATTGGTGACCCCTGCAGCTCGAAAAGCCAAAATTCAGAAACGTATTGAACCACATTGAACCACAACCATGTCTCAGTACCAAACTGGAATGATTGGCTCAGCCTAATCGACCTGCAATAGGCCTGTTCAGTCCAAACATCCATCCAACAGCTGGGTGAAAAACCAGCTGTAGATGCAAATCTACTATTCTAGGAGCTTGAAACCGCATTTCAACAATTCAACAACATCTTAGCTGTTTGCTGAGCTTATGGCCTCTAAGTGAAAGCAGTGCAACCAGCGGTCCTCGTTACGGCTACTGTACAAATGTTGCATTTCTAGATCGCACGGCCTCAGAAGTATAGGCCGAATTTGTAGCTAACAGGGGTCAATGACTTGGATATATTTAACTAACTGGAACACCACATGCACCCGCAAAGTTTGGGAGGGAATGGTTATTCTTTCGGATGGATGGCATGTCGCATACCTCTGACTGAGACTACCAGCCTAAGCTGGAGCATCGATATGGCATATGATATGCATGTGTAATCTAAGGAAGTATATGTCAGGCAAAATGACTACAGTGTATACAGCAAGTCAGCACAAAATGTGTCGGCCAAGGCCACAGGCCACCAGGCCTTGCTTAGAACTACGACACGAAGCTGAGGAGCTGCCCAACGCCGTGGTGACTGGCAGCATTATGGGACCATGGAGGCTCTTCACAAAGAGAAGAACTGGAAGGAAAGTGAAGCAAAAAGACGAGAAACATTGAACTTCTTGAGAAGCAAATAGGAACAAATCGATCACGCAGCTTCTACTCTTGACCCGTGTTGTGAGGCTTACAACCGCCCAGGACTGAGGACTCACTCACAAATGCTGTTCAGCAACACACAGAGGAGTTCGCTCGCAGCTTTTTTGCAGATTGCTTCCAGGCATCAAGTTCCTGCTGCTGCCGCAACTCGGCTGCAAGCATAGTCTTACTTCAGCAAGTCTTGCTCATGCTGAATATTCACGGGGCAGTATATGCAATGTAATGTAGTAATGCAATGTAACTGTTGCCAGCGGCTTGTGGTTCGATTCAGCTGGACATGTATTTTCGAGAGATAGCTTAAATATCCAATGTCCCATCATCAATTTGTGTGCGAAGCTGCAGCTTAGCTTAAGGGGCTTGAACACGTCCTGCACCCAGGCTACTGCGCGCTCTTCCGCAGCTGTCCGTGGAGGTGGCAAGTGGCGAAGAGCACCTTCACGTGTCCATTTGTCAAACACGCATCCAAAAAGTTGTTTTTTCAAGACAGGGAGTAGGCCGTTGTGAGCTCAAGTAGCTAGTAGTAGGGGGGAAGTAGTTACTACTGAGTAGCTACTAGGCTTGGACGCAGAAGAGCTCTTGCCTCTTCAAGGAAGCTCCCCCGCCGGGCAGGGAGCTTTGAAAACGCCCTTGCATGCTTGATTTGGTTCCTAAACTTCACATTGTACACGCCTGACTTCGGTCTGGGCCTTCATTACCTGCCTCTCTCTTCAATTCCATGCTTGGGCAATCGGCAGGTGAGACCCTTGGCTTTGGGACAACTATTGGCCGCCAAACCTATGATTCACCCAAGTTTGACATGTCCTTCAACTCTCAAATACTCCAAAGGCTGTCTGCGCTTCTTTGAGTCGAGGCATGTTTGCATATGTTTAGCGTCCGTAAATAGTCGATGCAGCAGTCATTCTTCGCTCGGTCAAACTACAGCACCCAAGAAAACTGCATCAGAACTGTCCCTTGAAAGCCCCTTGTTGAAAAGCTGCAGATGGCACAATGAATTACAATGAGAGGCCGGCTCATGAGGGCTTGCAATGCACACAGGAGAAAATGCACCGAGTCAATTAGCTCTTGGACCAACTCCAGGATACTCCAGGCATGGTTTGGCAATTGCGCTGTTTCCATTGCGGGCCTTCTTCCAGCAAGCGCTCCTGCATCCGGCCAAAAACAAGCAGTGTTGGTAAGTCCAAGTACAGTTTGTTACTCCCAGGTCAAGTCAAGAGTCGGTTTGCCTCATGATCATCAATGCAAACATCATCAAAGATTGATCAAACAATTTGTATCCGCAAACCTCTGCTATTGTTTGAGAGTCTCACAGCCATCACAAGATGCTGGGAAGCTGGGAGTTATGATATATATGCTGCGATGTCTGAACAGGCTGCTTGACTGGCCTTCGATTCGATACACGTACAGTATCAAGAAATCTTCAAGCGGTAGCATGGATAAAATCATAGTCCAATAGAGTCGTGCATGGGTTCACTTTGCCTTTCTGGGTGGCAGAAGAATGCAAGCCAAAACGAGCATGAAACATCATAAACCCAAAGATTGCAATGCGTCCATGTTGATGTTCACCATCTCAGCATACTACCATAAGCTGCCCCAGTTGGAATCCGGCTCATTGGCCGCTGCCACAGCTTCCAAGCTCAGAGACCTTTTTGCGCCTGGATCTCGCCTAAAGCAAGTCGCACCGTGCCACTGTCAGAAAGTTATGGAAACTTGCGCGTCTGCTTGCATGAGCTCTACACGAAACCATTTCATTAAACATGATCAACCCCTGAATTCAACATCATCAGGTCCCAAATCTTTGTGTTCCAAGTAGCGCATCTTTTCCTGATTGACCCGGTCACGGGCTCTGTCTGCAGAACACTCAACAGTCTTCCACACAATGCCTGCAGCTTTGGCAAACCTAGGAAGTCCGATGCCAAGCTGGCCAGGTACAATGCAATAAATCCCTCCTCAATGATCAAACGTGAAAGAAATACTCCAAGTGGCGCAATGTACATCTTCACGTAGGGCGATGGAGAATAGTTCTTCTGGGCCCTTGGCTTAGGGCAACATGATACATCAATATTATATCGATGGACCGGACCTAGTGTTTGCCCGCCATGTGCATGTGAGAGTGTCCATATGCAGAAGTGTAACTATATATATAACATTGTTGCATAAAGAATCATAAAAGTATGTGCATGCCTGCTGATAGTCAAAGGTCCTCCTATGCCTTTCAGGTATTTTTTCCGAGCTATTCAGTGCATGAAGACAAAATGGTTCACACCTTGGGTAAAGACTAACAAAGTGTGTTACATGAAGCAAAGTCTTTTTGGATCGGCACAACTAAGTCGCCATCTAACAAACGAATGAATAAAATTACAAAACACAAAATGTAAATAAGCAAAATAAAATACAACCAACAACTGGCTCGTTTTACATGTGTTTGTGGCTTGATTCGGTTAACTTTGAATGGTCGGAACAGAAAACCTCTGTAAGCAGGCCAGTGAGTAAGATCCTCCTTGGTCACTCATTCACAAACACAAATTTCGCATTGCACGAGCACAATTGCATGATTGCAGCAGAATCACTGTATACAATGTAAATGCAAATATACATAGGCTGAAATGACAAAGGACTTGTGAAAACTACCTCCAAATTGCGGCGGCTAAGTCATGAAGGTTTAGCCTAC